CTTAAATTGTAAATTTCAGGACCCCCGAGCTATCCGTTCTCCCTTGGGGAGGGGGTAAAGTTTACTATAGTTTATATAGGGAAATAACACTTTTGGGTATATTTTGACAACTTTCTGTAGGAAATTATTTTTACTTGGTGAGAATTATCCTTGGAGGTAGATGGTTTCAAATTGTAAAATTGAGATTCCTACCCCGACCCCTGGGGCCAGGGCGGGGCCCCAAAGGGAAAATTAATCAATATTTCAAAAATCTTCTTCTCCAGACTCAGAGGTACTACAGTGATTTTCTTTACGTGGAAAGAAAGATCATCAGGGGCTTTATTTAAATTGAAAATATCAGGACCCCGAGCTATCCGTTCTCCCTTGGGGAGGGGTTAACGTTTAATATAGTTTATATAGGGAAATAACACTTTTCGGTATATATTTTATATATTTTCAGCAGAAAATTGCTCAAACTTAGTCAGAATCATCTTGGGTAAATGAGAGTTTTACTTTGTAAAATTAGGATTCCTGCCCCATCCCCAGGGGCTAGAGCGGGGCCCCAAAGGAAACATTTACCAATATTTTCAAATTCTTATCCATTGATGACATGACAAGTATTGTATTTCACTTAGTTTACATGCTGATTTCCACATCACATCTAAACAATAAAATAAAGCTACCAGTATCTATGATATAACTCAGGTGACCGCTAAGGCCCTTGGGCCTCTTGTTTTCATTCTGACACTTTTTGACGAAGTTATGGCCCTTTGTTGAACAAATCCTGAAACTTTTTGTCCAGACAACTCCTTCTAAAGTTATGGATCAATTTCATCGAAACTTTCCAGATATGATAACTACCACCTGAAGTTGTGCATCAAGGCATTCTGTTTCTTTCTGACCCTTTTTTTGTTGTTGAGCTGATGCCATACCGCAGCGTCCGTCTGCAACTTTTTCTTTAAAACGGTACTTGTCCTGAACGCCCAAGTAGATTTTCACTAAATTTGGTCTGGAGCTTCCTTGGGCCAAG